CCGGGGGGGTGTCGGGCCCGGGGGCGGCGGGACAGGCACGGAGCGGGAGGGAGGAGGCACCGAGACACAGCGGGGCCGTGGGAGGGGGGTCAGGGACCCCGGGATGGGGGGGGAGCTGCCGGAGCCCCTGGTTCAGGGAGGGGGGAGCTGTCAGAGCCCCTAATTTGGGATGGGGGGAACTGCCAGGGTCCAGTGGTGCCGTGGGAGGGGGGTCAGGGTTCACAGTTTGGGGTGGGGGGAGCAGCCAGAGCTCCCAATTTGGGGTAGGGGGAGCTGCCAGGGTCCATTGGTGCCCTGTGAGGGGGGTCACCCACAGTCTGGGGTGGGGAAGGTGCCAGAGCCCCCAGTTTGGGATGGCGGGAGCAGCCAGAGCTCCCAATTTGGGGGCAGGGGGAGCTGCCAGGGTCCACTGGTGCCCTGTGAGGGGGGTCAGGAGCTGCCAGGCTCTGTTGGTGCCCTGGGAGGAGGTTCAGCCCCCCCAGTCTCGAGTGGGGGCTGTGCCAGGCTCCACTGGGGCCATGTGAGGGGGTCCAGCCCCCCCCAGCCCCGTGTGGGGCCACCCCCATCCTCACCTGTCACCCCATCCCTGCTCCAGGCAGGGTGCCCTGAGCCTCCCCTGGGCCCTGTGTCCTCCTGGTTCCTCCATCCCTCGGGAACAGCTCCCTCCCCACCCTCAGCACCGTGTCCCTCATCCCGTTCTCCCTCTGCAGGCCAAGTACAAGGAGCGAGGGACAGTCCTGGCCGAAGACCAGCTGGCCCAGGTGGGAGATCCCCCCCTGCCCTGGGGTTGTCCCCCCCTGTCCCCTTCTCCATCCGTGCCCGGGGCATTTTCCATGCCCAGTGCCTCATCTTCTCCCCCGTGCTCTCTGCTCCTGGCTCGTTCTCAGTGCTCTCCTCCATTCCCTCCCAGATGTCCAAGCAGCTGGACATGTTTAAGACCAACCTGGAGGAGTTTGCCAGCAAACACAAGCAGGAGATCCGGAAGAACCCCGAGTTCCGGGTGCAGTTCCAGGACATGTGTGCCACCATCGGGGTGGATCCCTTGGCATGTGAGCAGCAGGCCCTGGGCTGAAGGACAGGAGCCAGCTCACTCTCCCCAGGAGACTCCAAACAGCTCGTGGTGGAGCTGGGGGAAAGTTGTCCTGGAGGAAAACTGCCGGTGCTTTGATCCCTGGGGCTTGGGAGTTGGTGGGAGGCACTTTTGGGGGGGAGAAAACGGGCGGAGAGAACAAAAATCCAAGTCCTCCCAGTGAGGTTTGTGAGCTGAGTGTTCCAACCCCTTTTCCCTCTCTCACTGCCCAGCTGGGAAAGGATTCTGGTCGGAGATGTTGGGAGTTGGAGACTTTTACTACGAGCTGGGAGTGCAGATCATTGAAGTTTGTTTGGCTCTGAAACACAGGAATGGAGGTGAGGATCCCACTCTGCTTCCTGGGAGATACCACTGGCCAGGAGCACTTTTCCCTGTGGGAAATGGGTTGTGTCTCTCAGATTTCACTGATCACTGAGGTGATCATTTTGTCCTTGGTTTGTTTCCACAACCTGTTGTGGCTCCACCACTTTATTGATCCAGAAATCACCAGCTCTGCTCCTGTCTAAGGAACTAAAATATAACTCAGGAGCATGGAAAGGAGCAGGGATCAGGGGCAATCCTGAAGGAGTGTGAGCCTGCCTGGAGCCTGAGATTGGCTCTGAAGGATCCCAGCAATATCCAGAGGGTTGGAATACCAGATATAAGCGCTTAGTTAAAAGACAGTAGGTATTTTTCACTCCAAAAGGGCAATTTGAGAGCAGGGATGGGCTGAAGCAAAGCCAGGGAAACTCCCACGTTTTGTGGGAGGAGGAAGCAGCTGCCTGGGAACAAGGCTGGGTCATTGTCTGCCCCAGTGCTCCCCAGTGGGAACAATGAACAGACACTGGGGGGCTCTGGCAAAGCACAAAGGAGCCCTGGCTGCTCTCTCTGCAGTAGTTTTGTTGCCACGAGTGATGTTTTCCTGTCCCCTCTTGTTGTCTCTCCCAGGGCTGATAACACTGGAAGAACTTCACCAGCAGGTGCTGAAGGGGAGAGGGAAGTTTGCCCAGGATGTGAGCCAGTGAGTGTCTGGATGCCACAGGGAAGGGGGATCAAGCAGGATTTGGGGAAGAAAAGGGGGTGACTGGTTTGGGGACTCCAAATTTGACTTCCTTGTGATTCACAATTAATGACTTGGCACCCTGCTGCTGCCTGAGGTGGTTTTCTCTGGGAGCCCTCAGGCTTCAAGGACTGTTGCCTTGAGCTGGGGACAATTATTTCCCTGCAAATCCAGCCCCAGGAGCTGCTGGAGCTGCTGTGGCCTCCTCAGCTGTGAGGAAGGGACTGAGAAACATCACCAGAGCAGCAGATTTTAGGACACAACTCAAAAACTTAATTGGGGCTGAATCTTCAAGTTTAGCACTTGAGGCTGCTGGAGCTGCAGTTGTGTCTCTAATTCAGGTCTGCAGGGGGGCCCAAATACCCAAACTCCTTCTAAATTGCTTTTTTCCAGCTGTTGGTAACCTGAAAGTGCAGCTCCAAGGAGCTCTGACAGCTCAGTGTCCCTCATTTCCAGGTGTGTAGGGGCAGTTCCAGGGGCTCTAACTGACCTCTGCTCCTCAGGGACGATCTCCTGCGGGCCATCAAGAAGCTGAAGGTCCTGGGGAATGGCTTTGGGATTATCCCTGTGGGTGGAACGTTCCTGATCCAGTCTGTGCCAGCGGAGCTGAACATGGATCACACGGTTGTCCTGCAGCTGGCAGAGGTACCAGCCAGCCTTAAAACCCCTTGGGGCTTCCCTGGCAGGGAACTGGGGTTAGACCTGCAGGCAAAACTGTCCCCACTCTGCTAAACTAAGGATTTAAGTCTTGGCTGGAAGCTGACAGTGTTTTAACTCTTTTTTTATCTCCAGAAAAAGGGCTTTGTGACAGTCAGTGAGATCAAGTCCAGCCTGAAGTGGGAGACGGAACGAGCCAAGCAAGTGCTGGTGGGTGGGGAGGCCTCGTGTGCCAGGGGGGCTCAGTGCCAGGGGGGCTGTTCCTGCAGCCCTGGGGCACACACTGGGCTGGGAATGCAGCACCAGGGGTGCCCAGGGATCCTGAGCTGCTGGAATTCCAAAGGCAGGAACTGGGAATTCCAACACGGACTGGGGAAAGCAGAATCCCCAAAGCTGCAGATGTTCCCGTGGCTTCACTGATTTCATGGCATGGGTTGGGTTGGGTTGGGAGGGACCTTAAAACCCATCCATGGGCAGGGACACCTTCCACCAGCCCAGGTTGCTCCAGGTTCCATCCAGCCTGGCCTTGGACACTTCCAGGGATCCAGGGGCAGCCACAGCTTCCCTGGGCACCCTGTGCCAGGGCCTCCCCACCCTCACAGGGAGGAATTCCTTCCCAGTATCCCACCTAACCCTGCCCTCTTGGAATCTTTGGAGTCAGTTTGAATGTTGTGAGCTCACAGACACAGGAAGATGTCTGGACTATGTTTCTCCTGGTCGAGTTGAGTAAAAGTTACCCTGGCCCAAGTTGTGCCCCCTCCCTTCCCTGGGATAAATGTGGGGTTGGGCTCTCCTGGGAATGGCCCCTGAGCCATGGAAGTGTCACTCACAGTTTCTGCTCTGTTTGCACAGGAACACTTGCTGAAGGAAGGAATGGCCTGGCTGGATGAGCAGGCACCAGAAGAACCTCAGTACTGGCTCCCTGCTCTCTTTACAGAGCTGTACTCTCAGGAAATCACTCCAGAGGAAGCCAAGGAGGCAATTCCTTGACTGCTCCCTGTTCTGTGCCTGTCTACAATCCTCGGGAGGCTCTTTGCATATCACCTGAAACACAGGGACAGTGGACTTGAAATAAAAGCTTTTTGTAAAAAGTCTCTACCTTGAAAATTGTCTGGGATTCGTTCCTGCTGGCTTACCTCTGGATTTGCTCCCTGGCTGGGGGTGGAAGTGCCACTTGCTACTGGAAACTAAATGTCACAGCAAGAGGAAAATTATCTGGAGTCTTAAAGGATGCAAATGGGATTCTGGCTAAAGAAGTGGGGAAGCTCTTGTGTAGCTCTCTGCTCTGGGAAGGAGTTGTTGGTTGGTTGGTTGGTTGTTGTTCCTCTAAGGAATCACCACAGGCTCCATTCTGCCAAAACAAACTTTATTGCACAAAAAAAAAAAAAAGAAAAAAAAAAGAAAAGAATCTTATGTACAATAGTATATAAACAAGGTATCTTAGAGTGACTCTTGTGCATATATTTTCAACTCAATTAGGTCTAAAAATCTGTTGCTAAAACATCTCTGCCTAGAGCAGTCATTGAGGATTGTCACTTGGAAATGGAGACATTCAGAAATGGCAGGACAGAACATCAGAGCTAGAAAACTAATACTTCTCTTACAGCCACATGCGAGGTGGGTGAGTAGTGTCCACAATAAGGCATTTTCTCCTTCCCCTGGATGGGTGATGGTCACACCACATGCACCACACACGGGTCAGAGCCCAGCAGAGCCACAGCTCCCCCCACCAGCGACTGAGGGGGACAAACAACGTGACATTTACAGTGGGAGGTGCTGCCAGACCTCTCAGGAGACCCAAAACTCACCCCAGGGTGAACCCCACTGCCTTTACCCCCAGCTCAGCTTTCCCTCCAGGGAAGGTTTGAAGTCTGAATCACGACCCAGGGGAGTTTGCTAAAGGGGAAAAAGCAAATTTCTCCGGTTGTTAAACAACACCTCAATTCAGAAATGTTTCCACCTCTCAGCTTTGCAGAGTGCAGGGCTCTGAGGGCCGTGAGAGTTGGGATAAATCACAAAGGCTGGGGATGATCCCGTGGCACACGGGGCATTGCCTCGCTGTGCTGGTGCTGGAAGTTCTCCCACCACCACCAGGAATCTGCAACGGGGCCAAACTGGTGGGAAGGTGTTTAAGGAAACTGGGAGAGGGCCCAGGACAATGTGCAACTTCGTGCTTAGCTTTCTATCAAAGCTCCCATACAAATAATTATAATTAAAAAAAAAAAAAGATCATAAGCTCTTTATCAACAAAACTCTGCTCCAATCAATCCTCCCCAGGCTCCATCGCCTGGAGAAAGTGGGTTTCCCACCTCCACCCACTGAACACGTTGGAGGGAATGGCACAGCCAGCAGACACCTCTCCACGAGGGTGGCCCTTCACTCACAGGCAAAACCTGCTCTGAAACACTCACAGACACTCGAGTGTCAAAGTTTTCCAACACTCAGCCAAGTTTGGCAAAGGAATTTGTCCGTAACGAGGCGTCCACCTCCACAAAACCCCACCAGGAGTTGCCCCTTATTCCATTTCCAGCATTTCCATCTGATGGACCAAGGGAGCAGCAGGGAGGGAGGTGGCAGGAGGAAGATGGGAGGAAAATAAAATGTGACACGGACTGGAGAGGTGGAAAGCAGAGAACTTCAGGTGAGGAAACACGAATGGAATACTTCTTCCAGAATGCTAAATTCAAATCAACACCTTACAAAAAATAATACACAAACTAGACTGGTTTGTAAGTGCTCCCCCCAAATCTCTGACCAACGGGTTTCTCATCCTCCCTTCCCCAAAAATGCCAATCCTGCACTCCACTTACAGATCCTGCAGCTTCCACTCCCCACCTGCCCCTTTGCACCTGGGCTTTCAAAAGCCACCCAGGGCTTGAGTAAAGCTTTCAGAAAGGAGCCCAAACTCCACCACTGCTCTTTTATCTTTGGTCTGTCTAGGAGAAAGACATCAGGTAGCCGGGGCTCCACGGAGCAGAGAGGCTCCACCTGCCCCAGGCTTCACCTGGACACACCTTGGACTCATGGAAGTGCTCCCACAGCCACAGCTCCACGGGGGAAGGGCTCACTGCCTAGGAACAGAGAAGCTGCCAAGGGTTTGCAGTCTAGATCTCATTCTTTAATCAAATGGAGAGGGGGGAAAAAAAAACCAAAAAAAAAACCAAAAAAAAAGCCTCAAACAACCAGTGTAGGTGTTTCCAAAAACAAAAAAAACAACCTGAGGCCACATGCTCCAGCTTTTCTAGCGCAGGAAGTACCTTCAGGAGTAGCCTGGCACGAGCTGGGCTTTGTCGAGCGTGGATCTCCTCAGTCAGCGATTCCCACCAGAGCAGTGAGGGAGGCAGGAGGGATCCCCTGAGCTCCCTGCTCTGGCAGTGGGTGGGTGCTGGAGTCTGTCAGGGCTGGGTGGGCTCTAAGCTTTGGAGCAGCCCTGCGGGTCCGTCTCTGTCTCGGAGGAGCTGCTCTCAGAGTCCATCTCCGGGGGCTCCTGCTGGTGCTTCTCCTGCACCTTCTGCCGGATCCCCTGCAGACGCACCAGCAGGGACTGGTAGTCAAAGTGGCCTCGCTTCTCACCAAAAGGATCCTGAAAGAAAGGCAGGGATGAGCCCATTAACACAGCCCAGCAGCCCTCTGGCAAGGGGTGTAATAACTGTGCATAAAAATTGTCCTTTTCACCAAAAGGATCCTAAAAGAAAAGCAGGGATGAGCCCATTAACACAGCCCAGCATCCCTCTGGCAAGGGCTATTCCAGCTGTGTAATAACTGTGTATAAACAGTCCAAGAATTCAGGGTCAAATCCCATCTCAGGGTCAAATCCCATCCCATCACCTCCCTGTCGTGGCAGAGGTGATGATGTTTTAATATTTTTTGGTTATTTTAATGTATTTTTTTTGATATTTTCTGTTTGGGAAGCGTCACAAACCCGAGCAAAACCACAAAGGAGATGAAAGGCTGAGCAGACACGGGGTGGATTTCAACTGCCAGCCTCAGGGAAGGAAATTATCTCAAAGATCTGGTCCAGTCTCTAAAATCCAGAGGCCAAAGATTTCCCCACATGTCAAGTTAGTGCTGCAGACCCCGAACAAATGAAAGGCATCACCATTCCCACCCAAAATCAAGCTGAGCTGGAGCCAAGTCAGAGGCACAAAGTCTTTGAAGGTTATTTAACATTTGCTGCTTTGATGCCCATCCCAGGTCAAAGCCACATTGCCAGGGTTAGATGAGGTGGTGGGGGGGTTTGTGCTGTCCTATCTGATGGGAATCTTTGGTACAAGCCAACATGTGGCCCCAGAATTAACAAAACAGCACATCTGGCAAGGACTCAACTGATACTGAGCCTGGGGTGACTTCATTTCAAATCCTAATGAAAACAATGATATCATCTCTCCAGCACCTTGTTTTCAGGCTTCCTGTGCTACTATTTCCAAGTGAGCAGAAAACCAAGCCTGGCACCATCCCCTCTGGGATCTGAGCACAGCTCAGTGATCCTCACAAAGCCTGGGGAGAGCACTGAGCTCCTGCAAGGAGGAACCAGAGGGGGCCACACCAGACAACCCTCGTGTCACCAAACTGCACCACACCTTCAGCTCACTCCTCCCTGCAGCTCTAAGTCGAGCCCAGGCACTCCTTGGGGGAATTTCTCACTCCAAACATAACTCTGCTGCCTCGGGAGTGCTTCCAATTCATGAATTACACAGCACTGAGAGGGAAAAAAAGGGTTTGGAGACACAAGATCATTAAATCAACCACCTCCATCTCTCCTTAGCAGTGGGATTTCTCAATGAGTCAGAGGAGAGCTGGTGGATGAGGGAGGAAGACACATCTGTTCATGTGCAAACAGCTTGGCAAGCTGGTCTGTAAAGTCTCCTGCCCTGCAGAAAGGAGCTCCTGGATTCCACCTGTCTGGATGTGCCTGTTGTGTGGTCCCTGGTCCTCCTTCAGCCACTTTCCACCTCCTCTGACAGAACAAGGAGTAGCAGAGAGAAGTTCTCATCTGCTGTCTGAGCAAAGGAGCCTCAGAAAAAAGAGAAACTCCACCAGTGACCCAGCAGGAAAAGGCTGCACTGGAGTTCAGCTGCCACCAGCACTGGATAACCTGGATGGGAAAGCAAACTGTGCCACTGCCAGGGCTGAAAGCAGCACCTGCCTGCCTGGAGAGTGTCTCAGGCCCAGCCCTCAGAAATCTGACAGCCTGGACAATGTTCTGGGTGTGCCCTCTGAATTTGGGGAAGGCAGAGCTGTACCCACTGGAGCCCCTCAGGTCTCAGTTTCCTGGTTGGTTCAAAGCTGGAGCACAGATCTCCCAGATGCACCTGTCCCAGGTGCTGCACACTGTGCTCTGTCACCAGCCACAGCCCCTTGTCCCCAGGAGCACTGGCTGCCACTCACCTGCATGGTTTGTCCCTGGAGGTACAGCCTCTCTTTACACACCCCTTCGTAGAAGTCGTAGTATTCCATGAAGGATTTCTCCATCACACCCCTGAACACAAGGAGAGGACAAACAATCAACACAACAACAGCCACATCACCCAGGGTCACTCCATCCCACTAATTCCAGTTCCTGGAGTTGTCTGGGACACCCTGTGTGCCCCTCAGAGGGCACAGACAGGCAGGACAGAGCCAAGGGACTGCAGATCCCTGCAGCTGAGGGGATGCTGCACGTGTTTCCACAGCAGCTGGGCCCTCCTCCCTCCAGGATTTTTTTTCCCCAGAGGACAAGGCCCATTTATTCCCAAACCCAAGCCAGAGGATGCAGCCTTTGTGCTCAGTAACAGGCCTTTGTCCTGGCACAGCTCCTGGGCACCACCCGGGCCAGCCACCCACTGCAGGGGGGCAAAACCTTGGCTGGGCCAGGCACAGCAGCTCCCAGGATCTCAGGAACAGTTTATCCTGCTTCCCCCCACCCACATTCCTCTTTTCCATACCTCAAAGGCTCGGGACAGGGACACTTCCCCTCCAGCATGTCACACACTGCCACCCGGATGGTCTCGTGCCGAATGCACTCGTTGTAGTTCTTGCTGTCCCCTGGGTGCCTCTCCTGCCAACACAACTCAGGTGAGTCCAAACCTCTGCAGCGGCTCCTCATCTCTCCCTCCTGGGCCTGCCAAGCTGCACTGGTGCATGAACCCCCCCCAGCTCTGTGTGTTTGGTGTTGCTGAGCTGATTTACAGGGCACAGGAAGAGCTGGCAGGGTCTGATGTGCCCCCAGAGCCCTGGACTCGCACGGCGTGGAGACAAGTGAAGTGAAAAAGTTGGCACAGAAAGCTGCCTCCCTCCAGGAGACCAGGAAAACCTGAGCAGTTTGGTTCCTGCAGGACAATATGTCCCAGGGAAGCCATTTCAGGAGTGGTGTAGCAGGGAAAGGAAGAGCCATCCCATCTCCCCAGCAACCCATGTCCTTCCCCTCCCTCACACTCAGGTGAGCTCAGCAGCCTCTGGTTCACAGCTGGCTTGGACTCCCCCTCCAGCTCCAGCTGGGAAAGAGCCAAGCCACCTCACCTCCTCCTGATCCCAGTTCCAGCATGGGATTTGCCAGCAGGAGCGAGGTGTGGAGGGAAGCTCCAGCTCCAAGTCTCACCTGCTCGAAGCCGGGCTCGTTGTGATAAGGGTTCTCAGTCATCAGGGACTGGATGGAGATGAGGACTGAGGAGATGCTCTGAGCTGGGCTCCAGGCAGGCCCGGTCCAGGTGCTGGGGCAGCAAAACAGAAAAGCAGCAATTAATGAACCAGGCAGGACTGGCTCAGGGAGCACCAGCCCTGCACCAGCAATGCTCACAAACCACACCTGGACCCCACAGAAAGGCACAGGAGGAGAAAGAGCTGCCACAGGTAGAACAGCACTGGACACTGAGAAAGTTTTCAGGGTCAAAGGAGCTCATTCTCTCAGCTAAATGAGCACCACAAGGCTGACAAACCTCACTCCACTAACAGACACAAGAATCACAGGGAATTCTGAAGCTCTGGCTGTCACCCCACTCAGCAGCCTGGAGCAACCCAAGGCACCAGCACTGCCTGAGGTCAGGAATAACAACTCCTAAGGACTGAAATCTGATTTTGCAGACTCAAACAGGCCCCATCACTCCTGCAGCCCTGCAGCCCCCCAGCACAAGCACTGCCCCAAAAGCAGGAGCTCAGGGGAACGAGGTGCTCGTCCCACACATGGGGCAGCAAAACCCTTTGCACTGAACAGCATCAGCAGGAAAAGCTGTTCTGCTGCTTGCCCTTAATATCCCAGCTCCAGCTCCAGACCTGCCTCCCTGTGAGCTCGTGGAGGATGTGCTGACCCACATATCCTCTTCCTAAATCCTTTTATTCACAGCTCCCTCCACGCTTCCCATCCCAGCTCAGGCCCAGGCTCTTTGTTCACTCTTCAATAATTCACCTTTCCTGCTGCAGCTCCGATTGCAGGAGCCACAGGGCAGCTGCTGTGGGAGCTGCTGGGCACTCAGGCCCCTCAAACAGGGCCATGCCCTGCATGTCCTGGCCACTGGCAGGTGTTGGCATCCAGCTCGTGGCTCAGGAAGGTGTTTCCCAGCAGGATCCATCTCCCTGCCAGGATCTATCAGCTCCTGGGACCAGTTTCTGGCACTGCTGAAACCACCCCAGGAAAGGCACTTTTACAGCCACACCAGGACTCAGATTCCTGGTGGGTGATCACATTCCCATGGCAATTCCAGCTGTTGCTGCCCCTCCTCATGGAATGGCTTGGGTGGGAAGAGACCTTCAAGCTCCACCTCGTTCCACCCCCTGCCATGGGCAGGGACACCTTCCACCAGCCCAGGTTGCTCCAAGTTCCACCCAACCCGGCCTTGGACACTTCCAGGGATGGGGCAGCCACAGTTTCTCTGGGAAACTCTTCGTTCAACCAGGACTTTCCCGTGTTTAAAACTCCAGCAAGGTGAGGAACAAGGATTTGCAGCAGTGGAGCCTGTTGGAACAGGCAGCACAGGAGCTGTGCTTTTAACTCATCCCACCCACAGCTCAGCCCCACAGCCTCGGTGGAGGTGGAAGCCCAGAGCAGTCAAATGGCTCTCAAGGAAGTTCTTAGCAGCTTTTTCTTTTTTTTTAAGTTGTTTTATTTATTTATTTTTAAGCCCATATGGAGAGAGGAAATCAAAACCACAAAAACCCTACATTTAAACAACATTGAGGACCAGGCTGGAAAGTGCAAAAGCAAAGGAAGTGCAGTGCTTGGTCTGAGGGTTTGCAAGGGGAAGCAGGAGAAAAAGCAGCAGAATCCACTGAATTTTGTGCTTCACTCTCTCTGTTCTCAGATGCTTTCAAAGGCAAGTTAAACCCTTATTTCAGGAGAGGGATTTGTGCTGCTTTATGACTGATTCTGCACACGACTTCACAGAAGCATAAAGGTGCACCCGAGCACAGGTCTGGGGGCAAGACCGGGGCACGACGGGCAGAGAGGGAGGCACAAGGCAGAACAGAGCCCGCAGCCACCTCCTGATTCCCAGGAAAACAGCAAGTCTCCTCTTACCCCAGAATACTCAGGCAGACTTTCCCATTGCGGTAGAAGTTGGGGTTAAACCTCACTGTGTTATTTCCCGTTGTCATCAGTTTGACCCGGGGTGGGTGGATGGGATAATCTGGAGGACAGCGAAACAGGAACAAGAAGAAACCCCCTTCATAAGGCGTGTCAAATGGGCCTGTGATCAATGCATGAATCTGCAAAACAAAAGCCCGGCTTGCGCTCCACGTCCGCTGCCACGGGGGCCCAAAACGCTGCCACGGGGGCCCAACCACTTCCATGGTGTCCCAACCACTTCCACATGTCCCAACCACTTCCATGGTGTCCCAACCCCTTCCACGGGGTCCCAACCATTTCCACACTGTCCCAACCATTTCCACACTGTCCCAACCCCTTCCACGGTGTCCCAACCACTTCCATCCCCTTCCATCAGGCCCATCCACACCTTCCACCAGCCCAGGTTGCTCCAAGCCCCGTCCAACCTGGCCCTGGACACTTCCAGGGATCCAGGGGCAGCCACAGCTTCTCTGGGAAACCCATTCCAGCCCCTCCCCACCCGCACAGAGGAGAATTCCTTCCCAATATCCCATCTAAACCAATCCTCTCTCAGTTTAAACCCATTCTCCCTCGTCCTGTCCCTCCATCCCTTGTCCCAAGTCCCTCTCCAGCTCTCCTGGAGCTGCTTTAGGCCCTGGAAGGGGCTCTCAGGTCTCCCCAGAGCCTTCTCTTCTCCAGACTGAACCCCCCCAGCTCTCCCAGCCCGGCTCCAGAGCAGAGGGGCTCCAGCATGGGGATCCTCTGGACTTGCTCCAACAGGTTCTTGTGTTGGGAGCCCAGAGCTGGGTGCAGAACTCCAGGTGGGGCCTCACCAGAGCAGAGCAGAAAGGTGGAATCCCCCCCTGACCCTGCTGCCCTCCCTGGGAGGATGAGCCCAGGCCTCTCCACCTCAAACCAGACAGAACCACAGCTCAGGTGCTAAGCTGGGCTTAAAAAAAACCCCTCCACCAGAAATATTTCAAATATGAAAAAAAAAAAAATCTAATTTTAGAAAGAAAAAAATAATTCAGAATTTCTGCCAAAACCAGAGCATTCCCCAGTTCTCTGTTCTCCTGCTGATCTGGTCTTGTTAAAACCAATCGCTCGACTTCCTCTGCCAGGATCTGAAATTAAGACCCTATTTTCCCTCTGCTAATTACCCTCCAAGATCCCAGATTGTATACCAGGAAATCTATTCCCCTTGGGCTATTAAGGAAGCTTTACTCCCCCAGTGATCCAAGTTAATGATCCTCTTCCCTCCCCAGGATTTCAGTTCAAGGCCCCGAGGCTGGAGTTCTACAAACCCACCTTTGTGTCCCAGGGCATTCTGGCACTCCCTGCAGGGAAGTGCCCCAGGGGGGACCTGCCTGGGCCCAGACACTCCCTTTGTGCTCCCTCCAAAATCCCAGGGGCTCTGATTCTCCCACGGGGGGGAATTTGGAGATGCCACGTTTTCCAGGGGGTGGGAGAAGTGCAGGACAGGGCAAACCAAAGGAGCCTCTCCCAGCCCTCAGAGCCCAGCCCAGGGAACACTGGCTGGAGAAGGGGCAGCACCACCAAAACCACTCTGGATCAAGAGGTTTGAGCAACTTCTGCCTCCCAGCTCCCTGGGAATTCCAGGAATTTCCAGCTCTGGAAAACCCTGAGAGCCTGGAGGGGAAGAATGAGGGAGGCTGTGGCCAGGCCTGTCCCCAGAGGAGCCTGGGGGACCCTGGCAGGCAGCTCCAGAGTCTATCCCAGCAATCCCCATTTCCCTGCCAGCTCCCAGCAGTTCCCATTTCCAGGCTCCAGAGGTGGATTACAGACCCTCCAGCCCTTCCTGTCACCAATGGACCCCCTGATTTCCAGCTGCTCCGAGAAGCCCCCCCCAGCCACTGGTTTTCCACAGAGCTCTCCCTTCTTTGGGATGTTCCACTCATTGTTTTCAAGCATCAGTGGGATGAAACAAGCTGGACCAGCACCCCCAGTGTCCATCAAACCAGAGCTGGGTTATCCATGGAATCTCCTCAGCCCACCAGGATGGCACCTCTGCACAGAGCCAGTCTCCTTGGGAGCCTCCTCCCATTTTAATGCATCCCATCCCAGTGCCACCAGGAAAACTGGAGCCCTGTGCTCTTGGCAAAGCTCACCCTGACTCCTCTCAGAACACCAAGGGAATATTCCATTTGGGAAACCCTCCCAGCAGCCATGGACACATCACACAGAGCAGCAGGGAGCTGAACCAGCTCCAAACCTCTCACCTTGGTCATGTCGTGGGGATCAGGCACAACAAACATTCCTGGGGGTGGTTCCTTGTAAATTGACATGATATCCCTGGGGAAAGGAAAGAGGAATTAGTCAAGGTGCCCCTGGTGTTCACCAGCCCTCGGTGGGTCAAATCCCTGCATGGGTGCCAAGGGACAGACTTTGAAGGTGGAAACTTGTAATTTGTGAGGAGACAGATGTTTTTCCCTTGGCTCTGACAGTTTTCTGGATGAGTTCCTTCCATTTATCCCCAAAAATCGTTGAGGCATTTCAGGAGCAGCATTCAGTGAACCAGCACACCTTGATTAACTTGTGTTTTACCCCAGATCACCTCCAGCACGTCAAACTCCAGCCAGAAATGCCCCTCAGGGAGCTGTTTTCAAGTCCTGGGAGGTGAGGTTTGTTATTTAAGGGGTAACCTCTCCCTCCTGAGGTTTTCCCTCTTCACACCCAGACCATTTACAGGATCCCTTTCTGTGCTCACTCATTTGTTTCCCCAAGCCATGACTCAACCACTTCTGGGAATGTTTTACTCTGAGCCATTTGGGGTTAATGGACCAGGCAGAAGGTCCCAGAGCAGTCAGGGTGCAACACACCCCCCAACCTGACCCCAAGAGCCTCCTTTCTCCAAGAACTCAGCCCAAAATGAACCAAAACCCAACAAATCACCCACAACCCCGTGCAGCTGACAGACAAACTGCTGAATTCCATCCCCCAAAACCTCTCTCCTGTAATCAGAGCTGGGCTGAGCTTCAGGACAAGCTCCCACTCGACCTTCCTTCCCGTTTGGGAAGGGACCAGAGCTCGGGGAGGTTCCAAGGTGAGGAGGGTGAGAGCAGCAGGAGAAGCCTCTCCCCTCCCTGCCTGCTCCGGGTTGGAAACTGCCCAAAAATCCGGAGCCATCTTTGGGAGACATTATCCAAGCTCCAGAACAAGGATGAGCAAGAGCCTGGCAGGCAGCAATTCCTGCTCTGAGGGAAGAGGAAGGACTTGTTGAATCAGCGCCAGCGTTTCCAACAACACCAGACCTTCCCGCTCCTTCTGGCAAAGGGGATCCACAGGTTGATCCAGGGGATCCCTGGGAGGGTCAGGGCAGCCCCTCGGGTGGGCACTGGCAGGAAGGAGGAGGGTGAAGGGCAGGTTTGCTGTGAATATTTTAACTTGGCCACCAGGGAACCGAAAAATCTGTTCCCCTCCCAGATGTAAGGGCACCTCCCAGGAGCTGCCGGGGATCCCCAGGGCAGGGTCAGGAGCTCTGCTGCCAAAGCCCCCCAGGGCAGCTGACAGAGACCCCCGGGGGTGGCACAGAGGGACCCCCGGGCTGGCAGGGGTGAGACCCACCCAAACATCTGGGAGAGGAGATTCCAGGCCAGGAATTCCGGGAGGTCCAAGGCCAAGTTGGAGCAACCTGGGAGAGTGGAAGGTGTCCCTGCCCGTGCCAGGGGGTGGCACTGGATGGGCTTTAAGGTCCCTTCCGACCCAAACCCGTGTGGGATTCTGTGATTCCAGGGCACGGGGGGGACTGGAGTGTGTGCCCTGGAGAGCCCTGGGACACACGGATGGACCGAGGTCTGTTCCCAGGGAAACCTCGGGACACAAGGAGGGGCCGTGACTTGTCCTCAGGATAGTCCTGGGACACAGGGAAAGAACCAGGAGAGCCCTGGGACACAGGGAAA